ACATTCTCAGACGTTTCGCCGGCCTCGTAGTCGGCATCATCAGTGCGGAGAATGGCAAGGCTCACTGATGCCGACTACGAGGCCGGCGAAACGTCTGAGAATGTATCAAGTCCACTTTCAGATGCTGGGAATACAGACAACTATTATGGCAGACGACTTCGGACTCGGTACGTTCTACATAGTCACCCTGAACACAAGACCAAGTTGCGACAACGAGGTCAAACCACTTCTATAATTCGAAAGGAGACTGCGACCCTAACAGAGGCCACAACATCTTGGTCTTCATATCTTCAAGTAAGCTATTTAAGTTCTTGGAACTCAAGTCTAGATTAAAGAAGGATCTAGGACTAGTTCTTAATTTGGATGATTTTCAAAAACTCCAGGGCATGACGAATCAGAAGTCACAGAGGGTTCGGGATCTGATAAATAAGAGGCATGACAAAAAATTGCTTGGCTATGGGATAAAAGGCGTCTCCTTTTTGCTGGTCTTGCTCTATTCTTGTTTTCCCCGAGTTTGCCTAGGCAGTAGGCAAAGTTATCGCTAACTCTACCTTCCTCTAATCACCTGTTCATTAGATTTTTCTCCCAAAGGATTTCAATGGCCTCACTAACCTTCCGCTTTCTTGTTTTGTCACCGTATGGGGCTCTTCTTTTGTTGCATTCCAATTGATATCGTGTCCAGTCTGTGCAATGTGTTCCGCTAGTTCTGATCTTTCGGTATTCATTTTCCTGCAGAGCCTCTGATGTTCCTTGATTCGTGTGCAAATGTTTATCCCTGTTTTGCCAATATATTTCTGTTCGCAGGCGCCACATGATATACAGTAAATTCCTGAACAATCCAATTTGTCTACCCTTTCATGTTGCGTTGATATACTTGTTAAAAGTGTTGATCTCTCTTTCATGGCCACCTGAATATTGGCCGTAGTTTTTGAGTTAGTTCACAGGAAGGTAGGTATATCCACTTTTGTGAATCGTTCATCGTCCTTACTGTTCTTTCATAGTCCCCGTTCTGCCATCGGTTTTTTACGGCCCGTATGTTTCTTTGTATCACTTCGCTAGGTCAGCCATTGCCGAGGAATATCCTCGTCACTTTGTTCAGCTCCTCGTCCAAGAATTCTACATTCGTTAGGCGTAGGCTTCGGATGATCATGCACCTCATTATTTTTATCTTTAGCCTGTAATTGTGATGGGATCGGAAATTTAGCATTAGCCCAGCATAGGACTTCTTTCTGAATAATTTATTTTTTTGTATCCCATTAGAACGAATCACTTCGGCTTCCAGGAAAGATAACCGCTCACCTCCCTCTACTTCCATCGTGAATCTAATTTTTTCATCAATCTGGTTTATCAACTTCAGATAATCTTTCCATTTTCTCTTTCTTGTGACCAAAGTGATAGTATAGCCGTTTCGGCAGAACGTTGGTCTAGGGATTGATCTCACATATCTATTTGGGGAGTTTATAGCTTGGTTCGGAGAATGGCAAGACTCACTGATGATGCTAGCCAACGTCTCAGAATGTACCAAGTCCACTGTCTGATGCTGGTAATTATGAAAACTACTATAGCAAGGGACTTTGTACAAGTTGCGTTCAACTAAGTCACCCTGACAACAAGACCAAGATACAAAACGAGGTCAACTCAATTCGATAAATCGGAAGGAGATTGCGACTACACCGAAGGCCACACCATCTTGGTCTTATTATCCTCCCTTTTGTCTTGTTTAATCTCTTTAAGAAAAATATCTCTATCACCGCTTTAAATATATGCATGTTTTGCTTATGTATATTTAAAGCCCTGTGTATATATTAATGTATTTAGGATATGTGATGGCCTCTTAGCTGAATCTTTCTCAATAGATTAAATTTTTGTCTAAATCATATTTCTACATTATCTTTATTTACTTTTAGCCTAATTAGTCTTCATGCCCGCCTGGTTACAGAGGTCCCACTACCTGAGAAGTTAGCCACCCAGATTCTACTCCTTGGACTTGATGCTAACTCTATTTTCCTCTCTCCCCTTGTGAGCGTTGACATGGTCTGCGAACTTGGGTGGAGATCCGCCAGTATGTCCATCTCCTTTCCATCAGGTAACTGGAAAATAACTGGCGTATTATAATTCCTCCTTAAAGCTCCTGAAAACCACGTAGATTAATTGATACTGACGTATCTTTAATTTCGTTTGAGAAGGCGGGTCGAAGGGATTCGTAGATTGGCCGCACCGGATACCGAAGGAGGGTTGCCTTGGACTTGTGTCTGTTGAATTGTGTGAAGAAGACCTCATTGAGATCAACTTAATTTGACCACAAAGAAATCGTGATGTTTTATGCATCACACCACTTATTATTTACAATGATCCTAAGTGGGACCACCTCTGTCGATTTTGGGCAGACCATATGTATTAGTAGATCTAGCGTCACGTGCCTGCATGACTTTGGCCCACTTACATGCATGTAGGGCAAGAATACGTCAACCAACCCAATCATGCAATGTCTCATTAAGTTCGCAAAGTGAGGTATAAGAAGTAAGTAGGATCTCAGATGGCCACCTTCCTTGATTTAGTGTTTTTTGGTGATTTTTCGTGAATAATGGTTTCTGGCTCTGACTATGTCCGTCATAGGACGGACGAAAGCTTAGCACAGAGTCATCAGGGTCGTAAGACGATGAGCCGAGGTCTTCTTCGCACAATTCAACAGACAAAAGTCCAAAATAACCTTCCT